TTAACGAATAAACTATACAATTTAGCTTGACCACCCCATTGGTATAGTTTAGTTGCTTTGCACTTTCATAATCACTTTATCAACTTTCTTTAAAAAAATATTATATATCGATGAAAGATAGGGGTATCCATTTGTTATATATCAATTCATATTTATGTTTATTCTAATGCACCACGATAACATATTCCAACAATATTTTACTTCATATTCGTGTATTAATTATACAAGAAATTAAAAAAGTTGATCACCGATCAAGAGATCTTAGCCACACCTTGGCTTTTAGAAACCCATAGGTTAGATGCTTGGATTTAACAATTCTACTCAACTACGCAAAATTCTCATTGTAAAAATGATTTATTTACTAACTGAAACTTATGCAAAATTAAAACGTAAGACTAAGGTAATTATTTATCAAAAAAGAACATAGACTAATCCCCATCACATACTTTTGCTAAATAAGTTCGCAATATATATAAAAGAAGTTAACAGATATTGGATAAACGGGTTTTACCATTAGAAATCTAACTAAATCGTTGAAAGAGTATGAATTGTATTGGTGATTGAAGTCTGACTGAATATAAAGTATTTTCTACATGCAAGAACTAAAGGGAAAAGGGTAAGTTACTATATTGAGAAAAAGTTCCCAACTTTCAGGAACTATTATTTTAGTGTCTCAGGTGGTAGAACGAATATAAGTACAACAACTTATCGAAACACAGAAGAAGTTTCGTTTCCTCGTTACAATTCCAACTCAATCAATTTTTATTGCCCACTATACGCAGTGCCGTGCCAAGATTTTGAAGAGGTTGAGGCATGTTAAAAAAAAAATTATGTTAAATTTATATTTAAATTCAAATAATAAAAACATTCATTTTTTTGATTAATAGTATATACAACCAAAATTAATTTAAAAAATCTATTTTCTTATTTTTCTATAAAGTTTTTCATCAAGTTGGCATAATAAAAACAATATTTAGTTATTGCTGAACACAATTAAAAATGGTTGCATGACATAAAAACAAAAAATGTTGCATAGAGAAAATGAATGTCAAAATCATTGATCAAAATATTAATGGCTCAAAAAAAAAAAAAAAAATTAGATCTTTTGAGATCTTAGTAACTAATCAAACTAATTAAGGATAATAGTTTTTTATACGTAGTAAAAACAAATTTTAACAAGACACTTGAACTAAGGGAAAGATTTAACAAAAACTATACATTATTACTACACTAAAACAAATTTTTGGATTTGACCAAAAATTTTATATTATTTAAATTACCTGAGGCAAATGCCTTTTTACTAACACTATAGGCACGGCTCTGACTATACGTGTGGTTTTTTTTCACCCCCACCATGCATGTTTTATATCTTTTCTTTATAATGTTGCCTAATTTATTTTGCTTTTTCACTATATTAAACGAAAATAAATCAACTTTATATTAATTGATATTTTGGTAAAAGAATTTTTTTAATTTCTCACATTTGGGAGATTCTTCCACCACTTCAAAATCTTTTGAAAAGATAGTGGTTGTGTGTTCCTTGATTATATTACTCTTTTTAGAATTTAAAAGGGATATAATTAAAAATTGGAAAAAAAAATCGTAGGATGTATTCCAGAGGAATAAAATTATTATATAATGTATTTATCTAGCAAAAATCTAGATGCCATCGTTATGAATTAAATTTAATAACGAATCTCTAAATTATGAAAATGCAGCCAGTATACAAAAATGAAAAAAGTAAATAATTGGTGGATTTTGAACTATTTTTTATAGTTAACATACATACACTTGATGAAAAGTATGATTTTGGATGTCAACGCTCGAATAAGTTATTGGTTAGAACCTGAAAATACTAACCAATGATATGTCAATCTATCCAGATAACAGTAATGCGTAGCTCCTTACAAATTTACAACACCAAAGCCTTCTGCTGCACGCAACAAATGAAATGAGTCTGCATATAAGAAGGGACTCCTATTGGATTAGCAATGTCAAGTAGCAATTTATGAAACTTGATGCGATCGTAATAGGCAATTTCACAGAGGACAAAGCATTGGCTCAACTACTATCTTTAAGATTGTGGCCATATGTGTGCGTAATAAGACTTCGACCGTCAAGATAAGAGGATCCAAATGGGGCTTGCGCATCTTACAGATCTAGTTTAATTGCAATCGCATCCTCATGGCTCAGCAACAATCCAGACTTCCATAAAACTGGAGCAGATCTTAAGCTCATCTATCTCATCAGACTCTTCTCTTACTTCTGAAAACCCTGTTTGTAGCTCAGGTTCATTGTGGTTTATTATAATTATGACACTTATTGCTTAATCATTGTATATACATATATATATATATATTACATATTAACTGATCTTTTACGTTTTTTTTATAATAATCGTTAAATAATATATTTATTGATTAAGACAATGCCCAGTGAGAATTATAGTATTTGTCACTTTGTTCACTACTTAGTTGCATGTTACCGATTATAGAAACTTAAAAAAAAAAAAGTTGTATTGTTCAATTGCTTATTTAGAAACATGTAAAATGCTATGGGGAGTGATAAAGAATGTAAATAAAGAAATAACTTCATAGTACTGTTTATATATAAATGGAATGGGATCAAACAAATTCTTTAGTACTGAAACAAGATATATTGAATGTGGATGTCTTTCTGCAATATGAGATATGGGAATAAATAATGGCAATATTGAGTATTGGCTCTAATGGTGGAGAAAGTGCTCCACTTTGGTTTTTCAGTTTTCACAAATATGACTTAACGTCCAAGTTTCCAAATTCCAACTCTTTATAATACCCCCCATTAGGCCTTTACTACCACCATGTATACAAAAGTGTATGGGCTTTAGCTGTAGCCATAAGAGTAACCGATGTTATTATGTTCACATTCGATGCTGAAAAACTTCAAATGTATAAGTATCACTAAATCTATAATAACCTTAGGACAGATTTTATAATTATGGAAAATCTTTAGTGCAATTTTCAAATAAATATATATAAAAATCTGGGATGATCTATAAAGTTAATAAAGCAATTTTGTTATCATATCTGAAAATAGAGAACCGGCTATCGAATAAAAATAATACATGGCTACATATACTAAAGTCATCAGAATATTATTACAATATAGATGGAATAAAATACAAAAAACTTCTACTTGTTATAGTGGTGCTACTAATTATCAAAACGTTGCTGACGTAAAATTTCCACCATAATTTATAGTTATCTATATCATGAAGCCATATCATTTCTAACAAATTGAAAATAAGAAGAGATTCAAGAGAAGATAATCAAAACAAAACAGACCAGTCATTTAAGTCCTATAGTAATGTCACAGTTTTGTCGGGATTTGTAGGTGAAGTAAAAAGTCATTGTATTCTACTTCTGTCTAAAATAGCTTATTTATGCTTAAACATGATTTCGAGATTGGTAAGTAAAACTCTCTTAGGGAATTTGGCGTTTATGTTATAAATGGAGTGATTCTAGTAGTCTCACTAAGCATCTATCTGTAGAGCTTTCCTTTAGCTGTTAATTATCAGTTGCGTATTCTCAATTAGCCTATAAGGAAAAGTGAAAATAAGTTATATTCAATTCTTCTGGATAATAAGTTAATAACACCACTCAAAGATAAATTCAATACATGATTCATTTCAGTGCTGCTTTATGAATTATGATGCATTCTCAGGAGCGTGGATTCGCCTCAAGTGATACCGTACATCATCAGTGATATCATAAAATGCATGTTCTATAACTATATGTGTCATTTGCTTAATCATTCTTTTGACGCCTTTTAGTCTATCTTATTATCCTCTTTTATTTTTTGGTCAAGCATGATAATTGATAAAGTTATATCATGCAAAGATGTTAAATTTTATGTAAAGGATTTATATATATAGGTATTAAAAGACCAGCTACGAAAGTAGACGACATTTGGTGGGTTGCGTTAGAAGAATGTGTAGTTAATTGTAATTTTAAGAAAATAAACTTAGAAAAATGTACCAAAAACAAAGAAAGCAGTGAGATGAGGAATCACACATGGATTCCATTTTGTGACATTCCACTTTTGGTGTTTTCCACTAAAATTTTAGTAACTTTGATTTCGTGTCTTCTCACTCACGAGATTAAATCCCCTCTTCGATTATTTAATTTATATTACTAGCAAGAATTATGATAATATTAACCCCGATTCTTAATATGCTATATTAAAATGTGCCTAAACTCGCGACGTATCGGACAAGTTTTACCTTCGAAAGTTCAAAAAAAAAAAAGTTTTACCCTCGCTTGGTTTTCAAACTTATATATTTTGTGATCTCAATACTTTTCCTTTGTATATAAATTTTAATAAAAATTTACAATATCCCCTCCAAAAGAATTGAATGTTTTGTAATCAATAATCATCCCCCTTGATGATACTCCAGAACAAATTAATATCGAAGTTTACAAAATATAATAATTTTTTAACTTATGACTTAGCTAGCTTTATATCCCGTAAATATAAGATAATCGATTCAAATTTGACTTGTCTATATTTTCTTTTATTTTCTTTTAGGAATTAGACTAGTGTATAATCCATTTTATGAATAATTCGTTTATCATAAAATATTAAACCTTTTTATAAGAAATTACATCTTGAACATATATAGGAACTGGCCTAACAATAAGGAAGGAATATAGGAAATAGATAACTAAAAATAGCTTTCGAAAATTACATGGCAAACAATTAAATACCATAAAAAGATTCTAAGTGCAAAATAATAATAATAGCCAGGTTTGAAAAGAATTCCAATAAGTCCAAACACTTTAGGTTTAAGAAGGTTTTTTAAAAAAATTGAGTAATCATTCTTAAATCATTTAGTACCCCATTCTTAAACTTTTAAGAACCATATATACACCTAATTTGTGGTACTTTTAATATTTAGAATTTTGTTGGTAATTTTGGAAAACAAAATATATAAGATTTGGTGATACGATTTTTTTCGGGTATACTGTTAGAACTACCGTAAAAACAAGTTATAGTATTCGTCATAAATCAATAAAATCCTGATAAAAAAAATTGTTTGTTGGTCAAATGAATTTCGTAAAAATAAAAAAACGAATTGAATTCTTTATAAATATATTTTTAATACAAAAATCTGATACTTTCAAAAATGTTAAAGAAAACCAACCAATCACCTTTCATCTAACATTCTTACTTATCTGCCTATATAAGCAACTGCCATTTCTAGACTTTCTTCACCTCATCTTCGTCTCTACGTTCCAAAAACCTCTCTCACTCTCTCTCATTTCCTTTCTGTTAATACCTAATCAGATCAAACCGAACCAAACCAAACCGGTCCGGTCTTTCTCTTTGCTAGTAGTAGCTCTCGTCTCATCTCAGGTGTTCTTTCTCTTCTTGATTCACATAGATTTCAAGAATATGATTCGTCTTCCTCCGCTTAATTGAATTAAGTAAATGAGAGAGTGAAGATCTTGGCTTTCATTTTTCTTTTCTTTTTTTGTATTTTTTTCTCTGAAAAGTAAAAAGTGTTTTAATGAGAAAACACAATATAGTTCACAAAATTGATATCTCCAGTCTTCAATAGACCTTTTTTTTATATTGAATACGTTACATGTAATTATACATCTTCTATAAAAGTTTGTTGCTTTGTTCTGTTTTTCCTCCTCAAAAAAGTGAAAAGTAGCCATTAACCCATAAATAATTTTTTTTTTTTTTTTTTTGGGATAAATGATTCTTTTTGCCATGTGATTTGTCCTTTAAAAAAAATGTGTGAATCATAAACAACTTTGATACAGAAATGGCGTTGCAAAACGAGGACAAGAAGAAAGAAGAAGATAAAAAGACAAAGAAGAAGTGGCAAAAGAGTTACTTCGATGTTTTGGGAATCTGTTGTACATCGGAGATTCCTCTGATCGAGAATATTCTCAAGTCTCTAGACGGAGTTAAGGAATATTCCGTCATTGTTCCGTCGAGAACAGTGATCGTTGTCCACGACAGTCTCCTCATCTCTCCGTTCCAAATTGGTAACGCTTAAGCTAATCACTTTATTTTGTCTCTCATATATTATTATTTTTATAATTACCCAATGAAAAAAGCATAAAAGAAACACTTATCACGAAATAATCACTTGATTTTCTGTTTTGAAATTAATGGTTTTGCGTCGTGTTTTGATACGCAAAGTCACAAAAGCTTAATTTTGCCTTTCCAAAACATTTCCTAGAAAATTAGTTTATCACCTATTCAAGATTTTAGGAAAAATTGTTATCCTTAAAACTAGGGAATTCAGGTTTTTGAAATTGTTATCAATTCTAAAAAGCCTACAATTTGGGTTTCTTCTCAACATACTCTTTTCTTTTTATGAGTTATATATTTTATGAAGTACAATATTTTCAGTTTTTTTAAAAACTAAAATTAAAAACCAAAACTTATTTATTAATCAAGTTTTATTAAACTATAAGTACAACCAAAACCAAACAAACAATCATGAATTTTTTCTTAAAAAAACTAAAGATAAAGGTAAACAAAAAAAAAGAGAAAGAGAATCAGTAGTTTTCTTTTTTCCAACAATAAAAAAGAACAAACCGTTACTAGAAAACTATTGATTTTTCTATTAATATAGATATGTGTTTTTGGTAAATAGTTTAGACGACCGACATTTACAGTTTTTTCCCATAAAATACGTTCAATCGATCTAACAAACAACTGGGAATTCATTAATCCAAATTTACTTCTTCAAATGGTATTTAAAAACTAGAAAACTGAAAATTACAGCTCTGTATACAGTTTTGTGCGAATCGGCTTTTATATGTGTTTAATCTAAATTTTGCATATGATTATATCATACATACCTCATGTCACGTGTGAACAATATAACATATTTAGCCCTTTTTATATATAAAAAAACAATATAACATATGACATCATAAAATACATTTAATTTTCCAAAAACATATGCAGAAAAAAGTTTTCAAAAAAAAAAAAGCCTGACGAGATATCTACCAAATCTTGTCATCAGAAATATTTTATAGGTAGTGGATCATACTCGTTACGTAACTATATTTTATATAGTTTTTATCTGACAGAAAACATATCCCCACATTAGACATAAAATAATATTTTTTCCGTTACGAAAAGTATTATCTGTAAATAAATTTTCTTACATATTATTGGTCATTTAATGATCTAGCTCCAAATAAATTGTGGTGCAGCTAAGGCACTGAACCAAGCTAGGTTAGAAGCAAACGTGAAAGTAAACGGAGAAACCAGCTTCAAGAACAAATGGCCAAGCCCTTTCGCGGTGGTTTCCGGCATACTCCTCCTCCTCTCCTTCTTAAAATTCGTATACTCGCCTCTTCGTTGGCTCGCTGTCGTAGCCGTCGCCGCTGGTATTTATCCTATTCTTGCAAAAGCCGTTGCTTCGGTAAGAAGGCTTAGAGTCGACATCAACATCCTCGTCATCATAACCGGTACAACTTTTCAATCTTCATATAATTTAATATTCAGTTTTAGCTAACATTTTTATTATATACTATATCTACCGCATGATTTAAGATTGAAGAGTCGATATCATGATTTTCTTATAGAGTGATGATTTGTTCGTTTAATCATCAATGGTTTCTCATATATAATTGATATTTTCATACTACTATGGAGAATTGATTAACAAACAAAAATTAGCAAATTCTGGTCAGAGTAAAACTAGTAAGACCCTAATAGTATCTTTTTTTTTTTTAAGTCTTTTACTCTGCATTTAGTCCTTTGATGGTACTTTAAAAAAGCTTATATATATATATATATCTATATCTATATATATTGCTTTCCTGCAAACCTAGCACTCCACGAAACCTTTTAGAAAAGTTTTCCTTTATTTTTTCTTAATATTTTTAAAAGTAATACATATGGGAATTATCAAAACATATATTCATATAGTATTAGAAATGTAGCAATTTGATATTTATAGTACTTCTTTTTTTTGGGTGCAAAAATAGAACTCCAATATTGGAAATGTAGAAATTCGATATTTCTGTTGTACTTGTACAGTTAAGTGAATTTAAGTTATATATACGTTATAGAACTAAATAGAACGACTTTATATTTCGTTGTACGTAAAGTAAAGTTGAGTAACAGGATATAGAAAAATATCAAAATGTTCTTTGGATATAGGTAAAGTGAACATGTGATAAACTTGGAAAGTTGGTGTGGCAGATAATGCAAAAGTTAAAGGTGTATTCAGAATATGGAGTAAAATGATACGCCTTTCTCATTTCTCTTTACAAAAATATACATTTTCGTTCATTTAAGTACATTTTCGTTTGACAAAAAAAGAGAGTACATTTTCGTTGGTTTTACAAAGTAAACGTAAGATAAATATTTTCAATTTTTGTATAGAAAACTAAAATATTTACAACGTATAGTTACAAACTTTGTTAACGATTGGGCGACCAGAGGAATTAGTCGTTTTATGATCGATTTTCTTTGAGTTGTCTGGTTCATTGGGCACATTAAACATTTTTTATTTACTTTTTACGAAAGTAAATTATTCGTTTGATTTTTGATCTGTTACTTTATATTTTGAAAAAGAACCTTTTTTAGAAAAGAAAATTTGCAATTACGTGCCATAGAAGGAAACAAGGTTAAGTTGTTTTTGATTGGCTTATCTTCTACGACTCAAAATGGGGAAAAAGCACTTTTAAGTTTCAACTCGTGAAAAGAAAATAAAAAAAAAGCAACAAATAATTGAAGGAAAAAGATAATCAAAAGTGAATAAATGAATTCACAACTTGGAACTGATATTAAAGTTGACTTAGTCATTGACTGATGTCTTTTTTTTCAATAGCCATTGACTATGTTTAGGAGACCCGGTTAACAAAGAAAACCCATAAAAAACTATGTAAAATCCAAATTTGTAATATTGATTCTTTTATATTATTCTTATATAATTTGTGATCAGGTGATGAATGTTTTAAGTCTTGACTAATTATATATGATCTTCAAATTATGTCAAAACAGTGGCTGCAACACTTGCAATGCAAGATTACATGGAGGCTGCAGCAGTTGTGTTCTTATTCACCATAGCCGAATGGCTCGAAACAAGAGCTAGCTACAAGGTTTGTTAACTAAACTATAATGATCATCGATAGTGTAACCAAACAATTTTGAAACTTCTTGCTTTTTATGGATGACCTAAAGGGTTGACATTGTATTGGATTATGGCATTTGAAAATTCTCAGGCAAGTGCGGTGATGCAGTCACTGATGAGCTTAGCTCCACAGAAGGCAATCATAGCAGAGACTGGAGAAGAAGTTGAAGTAGATGAAGTTAAGGTTAACACAGTTGTAGCAGTTAAAGCCGGAGAAACCATACCAATTGATGGAATTGTGGTTGATGGAAACTGTGAAGTAGACGAGAAAACCTTAACGGGAGAAGCGTTTCCTGTGCCTAAGCAGAGAGATTCTACGGTTTGGGCTGGAACAATCAATCTAAATGGTAATGAAACCCTCTTGAAAAAGCTTCAATCTTTGAACTTTTTGGTATGTCTTACACACGTTTCATCTCTCCCCAATGTGTTTTTGCAGGTTATGTAAGTGTGAAAACAACTGCTTTAGCCAGTGACTGTGTGGTTGCTAAGATGGCTAAGCTCGTAGAAGAAGCTCAGAGCAGTAAAACCAAATCTCAAAGACTAATAGATAAATGTTCTCAGTACTATACTCCAGGTAAGCAAAGACATAAACCATACATCGTTTTTCTTCATGTTCTTGAACATAGTTAGTTTAAGACTTCTCTGTGTTTCTTGTTTTGTTTCAGCAATCATCATAGTATCAGCTTGCTTTGCGATTGTCCCGGCTATAATGAAAGTTAACAATCTCAACCATTGGTTCCACTTAGCACTAGTTGTGTTAGTCAGTGCTTGTCCCTGTGGTCTTATCCTCTCTACACCAGTTGCTACTTTCTGTGCACTTACTAAAGCTGCGACTTCAGGGCTTCTGATCAAAAGTGCTGATTATCTTGACACTCTCTCCAAGATCAAGATCGCTGCTTTCGACAAAACCGGGACTATTACAAGAGGAGAGTTCATTGTCATAGATTTCAAATCGCTCTCTAGAGATATAAGCCTACGCAGCTTGCTTTACTGGTAAAGAAACAAACTTTATGCTGATCTGAACCAAAAAACTAATTTGATGACTGAGAGTTTCTGGTTATACAATATGGTTTTCAGGGTATCAAGTGTTGAAAGCAAATCAAGTCATCCAATGGCCGCAACAATAGTGGACTATGCAAAGTCCGTTTCTGTTGAGCCTAAGACTGAAGAGGTTGATGATTACCAGAACTTTCCTGGTGAAGGAATCTATGGGAAGATCGATGGGAACGATGTTTATATCGGGAACAAAAGGATTGCTTCACGAGCTGGTTGTTCAACAGGTAAAGCTTCAAACTTTAGTTACATATGGAATGTTTTGAGGTCTGATTCTGATTCACTTGAGTGATGTTTCTTGACAGTTCCAAAGATTGAGGTTGATACCAAAGGAGGAAAGACTGTTGGATACGTCTATGTAGGTGAAAGACTAGCTGGAGTTTTCAATCTTTCTGATGCATGTAGATCCGGTGTAGTGCAAGCAATGAAGGAACTGAAAGATCTTGGAATCAAAACCGCAATGCTAACAGGAGATAATCAAGATTCAGCAATGCATGCTCAAGAACAGGTGAGACACTGAAAACCAGATTTTTGTTTGATTACTCTCTTACTATGTGATTATAAACCTTGAAATGTTTTCATATGAAACAGCTAGGGAATGCTTTGGATGTTGTACATGGAGAGCTTCTTCCAGAAGACAAATCCAAAATCATACAAGAGTTTAAGAAAGAAGGACCAACGGCAATGGTAGGGGACGGTGTGAACGATGCACCAGCTTTAGCTACAGCTGATATTGGTATCTCCATGGGGGTTTCTGGCTCTGCGCTTGCAACACAGACTGGTCATATCATTCTGATGTCAAATGATATCAGAAGGATACCACAGGCGATAAAGCTAGCGAGAAGAGCTCGACGCAAAGTTGTTGAAAACTTGTTCATATCCATCACTTTGAAAGCAGGAATACTGACTTTGGCGTTTGCTGGCCATCCTTTGATTTGGGCTGCGGTGCTTGTTGATGTAGGGACTTGTCTGATTGTGATTCTCAACAGTATGTTGTTGCTGAGAGAGAAGGACAAAAGCAAGAACAAAAAGTGTTACAGGGCTTCTACATCTGTCAAGAAACTTGAAGGCGATGCAGAGGAAGACCTGGACTTAGAAGCAGGCTTGTTATCAAAGAGTGGTGGTGGTGATGTTCAATGCAACTCAGGTTGTTGTGGTGATAAGAAGAGTCAAGAGAAGGTGATGATGATGAAACCAAGCAGTAAATCCAGTTCTGAACATCTTCACTCTGGTTGTTGTGGCGATGAGAAGCAAGAGAATGTAAAGCTGCTTGCGAGAGAGAGCTGCTGCAGTGGGAAGAGTAAGAAACCAGAGGGAGATATGGCTTCATTGAGCTCATGCAAGAAGTCCACTCATGTCAAGAATGACCTGAAACTGAAAGGTGGTTCTGGTTGTTGTGCTAAGAAAAAAGAGAAGCTTGAAGAAGTAGTGGCAAAGAGCTGTTGTGAAGAGAAAGAGAAAGCAGAGGGAAACGTGGAGATGAAGTTTCTTGGCCAGGAATTAATTGATTTGGAGAAAGGTCTGCAGAAAAAGGTTGGGGAAACCTGCAAATCAAGCTGTTGTGGCACTAAAGATAAGGCTAAAGAAACATCTTACAAGGAGCAGGGAGGGCTGATCAAGGTTGAAAGAAACTACAAGTCTGGCTGCTGCGAGAAAAACGAGACAGTGAAACAAAGCTGCCATGAGAAGGCAGGTCTGGACATTGAAGTTAGTGGAAGCTATGATTCCAAGTTGGTCTGTTGTGGAAACACAGAAGAGGAAGTGAGAGAGGAAACTGATATTGAGAAGATCCTGCAGTTAAAGAATGAAGGACAGTGCAATTCTGGTTGCTGCAGTGATGAAAAGAAAACAGAGGAAATAACTCTGGCTTCTGAAGAAGAGAAAGACAGTCTGGATTGCTCCTCGGTATGCTGCGAGAACAAGACCACCGTGAAACAAAACTGCAATGAGAAGACAGGTCTAGACATTGAGACTGGTGTAAGTTGTGATCTCAAGTTGGTTTGTTGTGGTAACATAGAAGGAGAAGAAGTGAAAGAGCAATTTGATCTTGAGATGAAGAATGAAGAAGGACAATGCAAGTCTGATTGCTGTGGTGGTGATGAAAAACCAACCGGAGAAATCACTCTGGCATGTGAGGAAGAGACAGAAGGTTCAGATTGCTCCTCAGGATGCTGCGGTAACAAGGATGAAGTGGAACAAAGCTGCCATGAGAAGGCTTGTCTGGACACTGAAGCTGGTGTAAGTTGTGATCTCAAGTTGGTTTGTTGTGGAAGCACAGAAGGAGAAGTTAGAGAGAAATATGATCTCGAGAAGGATACAAATAGTTCAGATTGCTCCTCGGGATGCTGTGGAAACAAGGAGGAAGTGAAACAAAGCTGCCGTGAGAAGACATGTCTAGACATCATAAGTTGTGATCCCAAGTTGGTTTGTTGTGAAAAAACAGAAGTGGAAGTGAGAGAGCAATGTGATCTTGAGAAGGGTCTGCAGATAAAGAGTGAAGGACAATGCAAGTCTGATGATTGCTGCAGTGTTGAAAAGAAAACAGAGGAAATAACTCTGGCTTCTGAGGAAGAGACACATAATCCGGAAACTGAAAGTGGTGGTGATTGTGAATCTCTTTGTTGTGGAACTGGTTTGAAGCAAGAAGGGTCTTCTAGTTTGGTCAATGTGGTGGAGAACTGTTGCATCAAGGAGCGAGAGATAGTGAAAGTCTCTAGCCAAAGCTGTTGCACGAGTCCTAGTGATGTGGTGTTATGCGACTTTCAAGTGAAGAAGGTAGAGATTTGTTGCAAAGTGAAGACTCCAGAGACTTGTGGATCAAAATGCAGAGAAAGAGAGAAGAAGCTTCACATTGGTAAAAGCTGTTGCAGGAGTTATGCAAAAGAGTATTGCAGCCACAGGCATCATCACCATCACCACCACCATCATCACCACCATGTGGGAGCTGTTTGAGGAAGATTGTGATTAAACAGCTTTATCTCTCGACGCTTTCCGTCTTCAACAAATGCTGCCGAGAAAATAAAAATTTATATGTATACTTATTGTTTTCCAGCAAAGGTTATAGATTTAGCTACTGTGTGATTCAGAAAGACAAATAGTGATCCGTGTGAGACATTTATGTTTGCCAAAATCCTATAAGTATTTCTCTGTTTTTAAGATGCAGACATTGTTGCGCAAACAAGTTTGAACTTCGATCACAGAGTCTTAATATCAAGGAGAAACAAGCAGCAGAAACACAGATCTCAGATCAAAGTGTGTGTTACCACCATTCACATTGATAGAAACCAGAGAGGAGGATGATTTAATGAATCTGTGAAGGAAAAGAGCAAATGAGGTCAAAAGAAGATGATTCTTCATTGATCGATGAGATAACACATAGTAAATGTTGTTTCCATCTATAGAAGCTACACAGTGTTGTCCCTGAACTGGATTCGTTTAAGCGTATCAAAAGATCTGATTCTTGCTCCGCCTGCTCCCATTAGGCGCCATAGAGAGAAACCATACCCACAGAGCACGAGTAAGAGCAGTGTTCATCCTCCGATATCTGCAACAAAGCTCTTTCATTTCATCTTAGCCCAAAGGCATTGCCAAACTCGTGCTTGAGGCATTTCAGATGCAGTTCGTACGGTGTTTCTTGCAGTAACGTGAACTTGATCCTAGGAACCATCGATAACTCTTGTAACTTACAAGCTACATGTTCGATAACGTCAAGTCTTGTCGTAAGGGCATCTGTACTGTATCTCTCTGCAGAATAATGGAAGAACAAGAAGTAAACTTGTTGGTTATATTAGCTCTGTGTTTCAGAAGAGATTAATTGGATAAGGGGTTATAACTTTTTGATTCTAGAGCAAAAAAAAAAAACACCACAGAGAAACAGATTGTTTTGTTGCTGCAAGAACCTCTTTAAGCATACCGTAAGTGACAAGAGGATTGGTCCAAAACAATGTGTTTTAATTTGTTAGAACAAAAAAAACGATATATTTCGTAAATCCTACATCTGCTAGACATTAAAATCAACAAATTGCAAACAGTTTATAGGCAAATATACTAAGTCTAAACAATTTCATGAATCAACAAATTGCAAACAGTCGTGTTATAGGCAAATATACTAAGTCTAAACAATTTCACCTTCCTCAACATCATCGAAAGCTTCTGGCTTTGGCTTTTCGGGAGATTCATCATCATAGACATCATCGTCTTCGGTTCTCAAAACCAAACCAAGATCTCGAACCAACCACCGACTTCCTGCGAGACGGGGTCCACCGCAAAGATGGACGAACTCGTCCTCCGTTACCAAGTGGTGTTCCGCTTTGGCTTCCCGCTCCATCTTCTCGAGCGCTCGACGTTGTTTCAACCTCAGGGCTCTTCTGGTCTCAGCCGCGATTCTAGCTTTCTCCCGAAGAAGGAGCTTTTCCCTCTCGATCCTCGCCATTCCATCAGCGCTTTTAAGCTTGGACTTGACGATGATGTCGGCGAACCGAACCTTTAGCGTTGCCGCGCGAAGGGCTTTGCTTGTGGATGACGAAGAAGAGAACAACAAATCACGACCCAACCTCGTCGCTGTCGCCATAACTTCCGGGGCACGAAACAGACAGAGACGAGATAATAGCGATTTAGGGAATCAAACAGAGACGAGAGAACAGAGAGAATGGCGATTTAGGGTTTTTGCCGCACGAATCAAACAGAGAGAATTAGCGAATTAGGGTTTTGTTGCCGTGATCAAGTGTATGGAACGGATAATCGATAGTGTGGATCAACTCTATATATATATATATACATATAGGAATAGTGTGTGTGTGTAAATCTCCTGATTACGTTTTCACTAAACCTAGGCGGAAAAAAGGAAACTGGGAAACAAAAAAGGAAATACCTGGGAAAATAAGGAAATTGCGTAGACGCGTACCGTTGTTTTAATTCAAATTCCGAGTTATGGTTTGGTACGATTGAGATAAATGAACCGGAAGGAGAGCATTGGTTATCTTTAACGGTTTTATACACAGAGGTTTATGATATATATTACGCCTAATGGCATTTTTTAAACTAGAATTACAAATTCACAAGTACAAATACGTACTCATCCAATAATTAGACCAAGAACATTGTTGAGTTACTCAAGTCAAATACAGAGAGTGTAGAATCACTGCTTTTCACTTCAACAAAAGGTTCTGTATAGTTGTATTATGTATGCATACCTTGTGGAACTTAAAATATCAAATCGAGTTCACACACCTGAAGATTCATAATAAGATTAAATAGCCTTACATCAACAGCTTCTCAGCATAAACAATGAAAACATTAGACAAAATGCAAAATAGAAACCCATCAGACATCAATCATCTTATAGCTTTTCTTCTATATTTCATTTCGCAGATGACAAATTTTTATAAAACTCTCAATTTATCATTTTGTTCGTATCATTCCATAATTAAGCATAAGAAATTATTTTTATTAGTTCTGCTAGTGTCATTAGTGTGGGGTTTAGGTGTTAGTTCGGTTTAAATGCAAAACTCATAAATATCGCATTTATTCACAACAAAATGTATAAGACGAGGTCAAGAAGAGTCACAGTCGGTCCCGCCATATATTTGTAGCTTGTTTGACTTTTCGCCGGTAATAAACCAACCACACAAAAATCAAAATCTCTTTTTTGTGTTTCTCTTTCTTTCAGATTTTCTAATTCGCCATTGACAAACCAAACCTCACGACAAGTCACGGAACAGAGAACCGAAGACTTTAAAGATCTGTACCTTTTTTTTTAAAGCAGAGAGACTCTTTTTCGTCATATGATCTATCTCCATCTCTCTCTTTCCTTGAAGCTTTTCCCATGGCTTCCTTCTTCTTCACCCTCTTTTCTCTCTTCTTCCTCTGCATCCATGTCTCTTCCGCCGCCGACACAATCTCCGCTAACTTTACTCTCTCCGGCGACCAGACACTCGTCTCCTCCAACGACACTTTCAAGATGGGTTTCTTCAGACCAGGTACTTCTCCAAACTTCTACATAGGTATGTGGTACCAGCAGCTCTCTGAACAAACAGTCGTCTGGGTTGCTAATCGAGACAAACCAGTCTCCGACAAGAACACATCAGTTCTCAAAATCTCCGGCGGAAACTTAGTCCTTCTCGACGGTGAAAACCAGACCCCGGTTTGGTCAACCGGTCTAAATTCCACAACCGGAACCTCTTCCTCTTCTCTCAAAGCGGTTTTGCTCGATGACGGCAATCTCGTTCTCAGAGACGACGAATCGGGATCTCTTCTATGGCAAAGCTTCGATCATCCTGGTAACACGTGGCTTCCCGGAGTCAAAATCCGGTTCGACAAACGAACCAAGAAGAGTCAACGGCTCACGTCGTGGAAGAATGTTGACGACCCGTCACCAGGTTTGTTCTCTCTCGAGCTAGACGAGTCCACGGCTTACAAAATCCTCTGGAACGGGTCGACTCAGTACTGGTCAAGTGGTCCTTGGAACCAACAGAGCAGGATCTTCGATTCGGTCCCAGAGATGAGACTCAACTACATCTACAACTTCAGCTTCTTCTCCAACGCGACAGAGTCGTACTTCACTTACTCGATCTACAACCACGCGAACGTCTCAAGATTCGCCATGGACGTATCGGGACAGATCAAGCAGTTCACTTGGTTAGAGGCCAACAAGCAATGGAACTTGTTCTGGTCTCAGCCTCGGCAGCAGTGCCAAGTCTACGCTTATTGTGGCTCCTTTGGGATCTGCAGTGACAAGTCTGAACCTTTTTGCCAATGTCCTCAAGGGTTTAGGCCCGAGTCGCAGAAAGATTGGGACTTGAAGGATTACTCAGCAGGCTGCGTCAGAAAGACTGAGCTACAATGCCCTAGTGGAGACATTAACCAGTTTCTCCCTATGTCAAACGTGAAATTGCCTGACAATAATTCAGAGGCATTGGGGTCAACGAGTCTCGGTTCTTGCAGATCAGCTTGTTTAAAGAATTGTTCTTGTAAGGCTTATGCACATGTTCAAAGCACGAATCGATGCTTGATGTGGAGTAAAGATGTATTGAATCTTCAACAACTTGAAGACGGTAACAGTGAAGGGAATACGTTTTACCTTAGACTCTCTGCTTCCGACATGCCAAGTGTTTCTTCCGGTAAGAGTAGTAACAAAGTGATGATATTTGGCGCGGTTCTTGGCTCTTTAGGGGTAATAGCTCTCGTTCTTTTGGCGGTAATCTTGATCTTAAGGTACCGTAGGAGGAAGAGAATGGGAAGAGAGAAGAGTGACGGTACATTGTCTGCGTTTAGCTACAGAGAGTTACAGAACGCGACTAAGAACTTCTCGGAGAAGCTAGGAGGAGGAGGTTTCGGTTCGGTGTTCAAAGGGGCTTTGCCGGATTCTGGTGACATTGCGGTGAAGAGGCTTGAGGGCATTAGCCAAGGAGAGAAGCAGTTTAGGACGGAAGTAGTCACAATAGGAACGATCCAGCACATGAATCTAGTGAGGCTTCGAGGTTTTTGCTCTGAAGGAAACAAGAAACTGCTTGTTTATGATTACATGCCTAACGGTTCTTTGGATTCTCATCTTTTCATCAATCAAACCGAAGAGAAGACCGTCCTCGGGTGGAAACTGCGGTACCAGATCGCGTTAGGAACGGCTAGAGGATTGGCTTATTTGCACGACGAGTGTAGAGACTGCATCATCCACTGCGATATAAAACCGGAGAACATCTTGTTAGATTCACAGTTCGGTCCCAAAGTTGCTGATTTCGGCTTAGCCAAGCTCGTGGGACGAGATTTTAGCAGGGTTTTGACGACGATGAGAGGCACAAGAGGCTATCTTGCACCAGAATGGATCTCGGGAGTGGCCATAACAGCGAAAGCCGATGTTTACAGCTACGGGATGATGCTGTTCGAGCTAGTTTCAGGGAGAAGAAACACTGAGCAATCAGAGAACGGGAAGGTGAGATTCTTTCCGAGTTTGGCTGCAACCGTACTCACCAAAGACGGAGACATCTGCTCGCTGCTTGACCCGAGGCTAGAGAGCGAGGATGTGGAGACAGAGGAGGTCACGAGAGCTTGTAAAGTGGCGTGTTGGTGCATACAGGACGAGGAGAGTCATAGACCAGCGATGAGTCAAGTTGTTCAGATTCTTGAAGGTGTTTTGGAAGTGAATACGCCGCCGTTTCCGAGATCGATCCAAGCTTTAGTTGAAAACGATGGATCTGTGGTCTTCTTCACTGAGTCTTCATCTTCTTCGAGCCATAATTCTTCACAGAAACAAAGCCATACTTCTTCATCTTCTTCTTCCAAGACAACGACTAACAATAGCTCTTCGGGTTAGTTAATGTAAGACTCACTGTATTGATTCATATATGTTTAGTTATAAATATGCCAACGAATCACTAAGTTTTCTTCCATTGTATAATCATTTATTTGTTACAAGAATTTTACATTTACTTGTTCATCTGGTCATTGGAACCTAATTTACTTATGTTATCAAGAATACCCTTTGACCATTATTAGCTTGTATCACAAGTTTCCTCTGTAATTGCAGTGTTACAAACTTAATCAAATAAAATGAAAAGATTTTAAACAAGCAAATTAATCAAAGGTTGATACAGCTCAAGAGCCTATATGAATTGGGGATTGTAAGCACATGATTCAACCGTTCAATCTCCCCCCAAATCTCTAAACCGGAAACGCTGATGCGCTTCTCAAACCTAATCACTGCACACCAAATTTTGCAGAGACATGTATTCCTGTTCGCGTAGTACGGTCGCTGCCGCTGGTCCCAAAGAACCACGAGCTTTCCACCAAAGTTAGGTAACTGAACTGTCGCAGACTCGCGAAAACCACGCTTGTTGTACAAACCTTCCAAGCCCCGAACCGTGAACCACTTTCTACGCTTTGAGTCATACCACTCGAACCGTACTAAACAGTTAAAGTTACTGTTACTGTAAGAGAGAAGAAACATTACATTTCTATAACGCACCAAGGTCTACTTTTACGTTCTTGACACAAACGCACCTGCGTCCATCTTCCTTCTTTGGAATCATCATATATGTACCTTTTATTCCCACTTCTGGCGTATAGGTTTCCATAATGAAACTGAAGCTTAGCTTCACCGCTAAGGCTAGGAATTAGCTTCCATGTCTGAGTCTTAAGATCGAAAACCTCACCCCAATTCATGGATGGCTCTGTTCCTCCAATCACAACTATCTTCCCGTGTATAAAAGAAGATCGCGCGTCTTTTCTTGCCACCGTCATGCTGGGAGCATCACGCCACGTGTGGTTCCGACAATCTAGCACACGAACGGCCGAGGACGGCTCCTTGTTGATGGTTCCGCCGATTTGGTAGATCTCGAAACCGACGGATACAGTGGTTGATGACTTTGATGGACCAGAGGAAGAGAGTGTTTTGACTCGTGGTATAGTTGGAACTACGACCTATTCAATTCGACTGCACTTTAATATCCCTTTACTCCAAGTCTCCGGTCCCAATTATATGCATGAGCTGGAGTCTATCATTATTTAGAGTTGTGCTACCTAAACTATTGGGTCATATAAGCCCATTATATTGTGTCTTTGTAAAAATTTAAATTGTGATATGTACGGAAAGAATTTAGATTTTTATTATCCAAACCATCTTCAAGAGCCCATCATCACTACTCCTAAACTAAATCTAAGCAGAAAAGAACAAGAAATTGACCAAGAAATTATGGTGAGCTTGCAAGCAGAGAAGGTCGTGAACTCCTTGGACCTCCACATGGTTTTCAAAGCCGCCTTGGAACTTGGTGTTTAGAGCACCGGTAATGGTGAACTTAATAAATAGATTCTTAAAATATTTTATTATTAAATAAAAGATAAAGTTTTGAGAATCAATTCTTAAAGCTCCTCCATCAGAGTCTACTCTTTGAAAAAAATTATGCCACCTCATTTTTCTTTTTTTTAACATTTAAAAACTTCACTAAATCTCTCCGCTCTTAGATAATGGCATGTAGCTCTCTCTCCTTCTGAGATAGCACTTAATCTCTTTATCAAGCCCATAAACCCAGATGGGCCGGTTTTGCTAGACCGGATGCTGCGCTTCCTCACTCCATCCTAAAATACCGCATGGTTGAAACCGGAGAGTCCGGTATGGTATATGCAGCTGAACCAGTTTTCAAGTTTCTCTTGAAAGATAATGATGGGTCTGGTTCTCTCTTTTCTATGTGTATGCTTCTCCAAAGCCAAGTCCAATTCAAGACTTAATACTTACGTATACTTGATATACATATTCACAAAATCGGCTTAGAAAAAAAACCCATTCAACTAAACCGGTTTACAAAAGAATGTAATATATTCAATAAATCTGTATCATCAATGATTTTTTTTTTTCCATAGGACTCATCTCAAGGATGTCATATTAGAAAGAAAAGATGCATTCAGCTCTGCCCATGGCATGAAATGTTTTGAATAACAATTTGGTGAGGTCTGTACTTAGCATTAAGTACACTCTCTAAACATAAAAAATCACAAGAATCTAATCCTAAGCATCATTAATAATTCATGAATTACCTCTAATCTACTAAGACCACGATCCAATAAAAGACTACTCACAAATCATAATGAAAGCAAAAAATAAACATGATAGAAGACATAATTAATAGAGATTAAGAAAATATTAAGAATGTGCACTAAATTAAGAAGAAAATATAAAAGATTCAACATAAAGAGGCAAGAAAAACTAAAACATAAGATAGTTTAGGGTTTTTTCTTATATAAAATTGGGTTTTTTCTTATATAAAATTGTATTTATAGGCCGTAAAAATGAACCAGGTCAACCTATGACAAATTAGGTTGGGTCCAGCTTAAAACAGAAAGAGGTCTATCTGAAGTATATGTGCAGCCTGACAGATTCACAGCCAGACGGATTTGTGCGAGAATGTGCCACTTCTTCATAAATTTTCTAGTTCCACTCCCTTCTCCACTGCTACACCATGTCCTCAAGTCCCAAAGAGCTCTATAATACACTAAAAACACATAATAGCCAATGCAAATGCAACAAAAACGGCATGGGGCTCTACTATGACACTAGATGATGCGAACAAGACTCAAATATACTAAAGTGACTTCTAAAAATATGAAACATCATGAAAACCAAACAAAACAAGAGCTAAGAATATATAAAACCTACACATATCAAACACCGACATACAAGATGGTGGATCTTTCGAATACGTGGAAGCTATTTGTCTACGTACCAAGCAACTTCTGGGGCGCAGGATTAGCAATTGTGCTCATCTCCCTGGAATAGAACATAGAAATTATTTAATAAATAATCACTCAGATAAATAATTATCAAAAATAAAGAGAAGAAAATGACAAAAAGCATGAACCAAAAAAATATACAAATACAAAAACATGAAAAATAAATAGACTTTATTTAGCCATAATTGGGAATAATTTTAAATTCGTTATGTAACAAAAATAAAGATAAAGTAATAAATTCTTAATGCATTTGCTCTCATAAATTATTTATACTAAACTGAAACAACATACATTTAGAAAAGAAAAAATATTAACAAAATATGAAAATACATCCGTAATGGAAGCAGTGTGGAAGTCAGTAAAATTCTCTTGATCATCATAAGTTGATAACATCGATGGAATTTTGGAGTACAAACACTAACACAAACTATGAGTGAGATGGAGAATATGGAGATAGAAAGAATTTAAAAGCATACAAAGACTTCTTCTATTGATGAGAGAGCCGATGGTCTTGAAACATATGCATGCTTTTAGCGCTTCGGAACTATAAATTTTGACAATGCGTCTAATTAAGCTAGTTTATACATATTTTATGACTATGGTGGAGCTGTAAAGTGTAAGGGAAAGGGCTATGGTCCGTGTAGAGCCCTGGGAAGAGATGAGAGAGCCGGTGGTCGAGAAAATAAGTTTTAAGATTTTGATTATGAATAAATGAGCGATTTCATTTCATCTATAAAGTTTTCAAAACTCAATATTACTAGTCTTTTCATCTCGTTTTCATCTTCTGTAAACAACAAGGCCTTTCACCATTAATATTAGCTACTTGAGTTGGTATCGAAAAATGCCTTTGAAAGCATATTCAGCAGAAGAAATTTTCCATGAACGTAATCTGTAAGGGTCTGCCTATCAAGTATATCAACTCAATAATCAATATGAAGCATATGATATGACATTCACATCCACGTAATCAAGAATCAGTTTTCTCACTAATTAATGTAATTGTTGTGTTACAAACTTAACCAGATAAAATGAAAATAAAATTAATTAAGATCCTCAGCTAAAAAATGAAAGCAAATTAATCAAAGGGTGACACAGCACAAGACCTGATATGAGTTAGGGACTGTAAGCAAAGCATTCGAGCGTTCAATCTCCCCCCAAATCTCTAATCCAGAAAAGCTGAGGCGCTTCTCCAACCTAATCACCGCACACCAAACTCTCTTGTATTCGCAGCGAAAAAAGCGACTCGGCCTCCTCGCCACTGGCAAATCGAGTGAGCGTGGCTCGTCCCATAGAATTATGAGTTTCCCACAATAGTTAGCTAACCGAATCGTAGGGTAGCGAATAGCAGGGTTCATATACAAGTCTTTCAAACCCTCAACCATCGACCAAACTCTGTGCTCTGAGTCATACCAGTTCAATTTACGCAAATCAAAACTAAACTTTATGTTTTCTATAATGCACCAGGGTCCGATCGTATGTTCTGGACCAAAACCACGCACCTGATGAGGAGTTATTTGCTTCCATCTTCCTTCTTTGGGATCATAAGAATACGGTTTATGCCCACTTCTAATATACAGCTTTCCTCCATTAAGCTTAGCTTTAGCGTGATCATCGCCATTAGGGCTAGGCAGTGGCTTCCAAGTCTCAGTCTTTAGGTCAAAAATCTCAGCCCAATTCATGGATGATTCCTCTGTTCCTCCGGTCACATATATCTTCCCGTCTATAAAAGCAGAGTGGGCGCCTGTTCTTGCCACCGTCATGTTGGGCGCATCACGCCACGTGTGATTCCGACAATCTAGCACCCGAACGGCCGAGGACGGCTGCTTGTCCTTGTTGATGCTTCCGCCAATTTGGTAGATCTCGAAACCGACGGACACAGTGCTTGGTGACTTTGGTGGAGCAGAGCAAGAAGGTCTTATCGGTGATAAGCTTGACTCATCACCGATCCAGCCTGAGGCAGCGGGGTTAGTGCAATATATATAGGTACCGACTAGAGATCCTCCGTAGATCTTAAACACGGCTGAATCGAGTCTGTAAAGCGGTTTAAAGAAGAGAAGGGCCACCTTAAAGATCAGGATCCGGAAGAGTGACGACAATGGCGTACACAGCAGAGATAGAGAGAGAGAGTGGAGAGAAGAGCGAGAGGATAATGATGGATTTCTTTTCCAAAATACTCGTACAGCATTCATAAAGTCTGAATGGTCAAACATACGACCATAAACCGGAATTAACAAACCAGAGAATTCAAAATGAAACTTTAAACCGAAACGTATTTGAACCGGAAAACATAAATTGCAGGCAATGCCTGTCACAATACTCCCCGCTTGACAACATCTTTGTCCTCAAAGATGAAACTCAGGGTATTTCGCAATGAAATCCTGATAGAACTCCCAAGTAGCCTGAGCTGGTGTCTCGCCCTTCCATTGAACCAACACCTTAGTAGCTGCTGTGTTGCGTCGCTTAACCACCTTCTTATCCAACACACACTCGGGTTCCTTGGACTTGCCCAAATTGAACCAGTACTGAGGCAGCGCAGACGTAGTGGCAGAAGGATTAGGACAAAGGTTGAGCTGGCTTACGTGGAAAACGTCATGAATCGCGGCTCCGGACGGCAACTTGAGCTTGTAGGCGACTGCTCCCACTTTGTCAACGATACGGAAAGGTCCGTAGAAGCGTGGAGAGAGCTTGTGTGGTGTCTGTCGGTTCTTGAGGGAATGTTGACGATATGGTTGCAACTTCAGATACACGAAGTCGCCTGTAGTAAATGACCGGGGTGATCTGTGGGAGTCAGCGGCTTGTTTCATACGGTTCTGAGCCCAAAGGAGGTGAAACTTCAGCATGGTAATGACCTCTTCGTGCTTCTGCAGGCTCCGATCAACCGCTACAGAGGAGCTTTCACCAGGTAAGTAAGGGAGGTGCGTGGGAGGAGGTTGACCATACACGATTTCAAACGGTGTGCTACGAATAGCGGAGTGGTAAGTGGTGTTGTACCACCACTCGGCTAAGGGTAACCACTTGCTCCAAGTGTGAGGAGTCTCTGCAGTCATACAACGGAGGTAAGTCTCTAAAGTTTTGTTGGTTATCTCGGTTTGACCGTCGGTCTGAGGGTGATAGGCAGTGGAGTGCTTCAATTCAACCCCATGAATGCAGAACATCTCCTTCCACACTTCGCTGAGGAATGTCGGGTCTCTGTCACTGACAATATCCTTAGGCATCCCGTGCAACTTGAAAATCTGATCCAGATACAGTTGCGCCACCTCAGCTGCCGTATACGGATGAGATAAAGCAACGAAGTGGGCGTTCTTGCTCAGTCTATCCACCACAACCAGTATGCAATGTTTACCAGCAGAAGGGGGAAGGCCCTCGATGAAGTCCATGCTGACTGATTCCCAAACACCATCCGGGATAGGCAGTGGTTGAAGCAGACCAGGCTTTGCGACATACTCGTACTTGTTCTTCTGACAGATGGAGCAGTTACGGATGTATGCCTGCACTTCGAGATTTATCCTTGGCCAATAGAACAGGGATTTAACTCGGTGCAATGTCTTGTCTCTGCCCGAATGACCCCCCACAGCTGAGTCGTGCAACCAAGTCAATATGTGAGTTTTGATTGCCGTATCGTTACCAACCACCAGCTTCCCTCGACGTCGTAACTCATCGTTGGTGTACGTGTAAGCAGGATGAGAGGAAGGATCAGATTGAAGGTCTGAAACTACCTTCCTGAGATACGGATCTGTTTGCCAGAGGAGCTTGAGCGAATCGTAGAAACCTTGATGAGCTTGCGACAGAGTGATTTGGAGAAGTTGTAAGCCGGTGACACGGGAAAGGGCATCGGCAGCTACGTTCTCCTTGCCCTGCTTATACTGTATCTCGAAGTCGTACCCCATCAACTTAGAGAGCCACATGTATTGGAAGGGAGTAGAAGCCTCCTGTTCCACCATGAATTTGAGGCTTTTCTGGTCCGTGCGAATAACAAAAGGTCTGTGGGAGAGGTAAGCGCTCCAGCTTTGTATCGCGTGTACCACTGCCATGAGCTCTTTTTCGTAGACGGAGAGGGATTGATGCCTAGGACCAAGAGCACGACTTATGTAGCAGATGGGATGATTATCCTGCATCAACACTGCTCTGATACCCATGTTAGAAGCATCTGTCTCCACCACGAATGTCTTCTCAAAATCAGGAAGGGCTAGGACCGGCACTGAAGTGAGTGCTTCTTTCAGTGTAGCAAAAGCAGAAGTTGCCTCGGGACCCCATGTAAACCCATCCTTGCGAAGTAGAGACGTGAGAGGACGAGCAATCACACTATAACCTTGTATGAAACGCCTGTAGTAGTTGGCGAGACCAAGAAAACTGCGAAGCTGTTTCTGTGAATTCGGAGTTGGCCATTGAGCCACAGCTTGAACTTTCTTGGGGCAGGTACTCACTCCCTCAGCAGATATGAAATGTCCAAGGTACTCGATAACCGTAGCTCCAAAAGTACACTTGGAAGGCTTCAGGTAGAGTTGCTGAAGTCGGAGAATCGAGAAGACCTCTTGGAGATGAAAGAGGTGAAGCTCCCAATCTGGATTGTAGACAAGAATGTCGTCGAAGAAAACCAATACCGACTTCCGAGCAACATCCTGAAACACGTGATTCATCAGGCTCTGGAAGGTGCACGGGGCATTAGATAACCCGAATGGCATGACAAGGAACTCGTAATGTCATGCGTGGGTTTTGAAGGCCGTCTTGTACACATCTGCAGGAGACATCCGGAGCTGATGAAACCCGGCGCGGAGATCCAACTTGGAGAAGTATCGTGCACCCCCGAGCTCATCCAGAAGATCCTCAAGCAACGGAATAGGGTATTTGTCCTTAATCGTCTGCTTATTGAGGCCCCTATAGTCCACGCACAACTGCCAAGTCCCATCCTTCTTCTTCACTAGGACAATAGGGGATGCGTAGGGACTTGAGCTGCACTGAATGATGCCTTGGTTAAGCATTTCTTTGATCATGCCATCGACTGCATCCTTTTGTAAGGTATAGTAGCGGTAGGGACATAGATTGATGGGGTTAGAGCCGGATTCCAGAGGAATTCTGTGATCGAACCCTTCCCGAAATGGTGGGAGTCCCACTGGTTTGTCAAAGAGATCAGCGAATGAGGCCAAGAGAGACGTCAAATCAGAATCAGCAGCTCTCTCCGTGGTGTTGGTCGCGACATGAGAAAAGAGAGAAGCCGGCGAGGGTAATGCTTGTACCTCTGCAGCCTCTGAATCACAGATTTCACGAACTTGCAATAGAGCTATTTGAGGTTGTTGAAGCAACAACTTGTTAAGGCTACCACTCCTGATCGGCTTGCAAGTCGATTTAGTGACTCCTCGTAACACGTGTTTGGTCTCCTGGTATTTGAATTCCATCCGCAGGTTATGAAAATCCCAAAGAATAGGACCCAAGGGAGCTAACTATTGTACTCCGAGGATAAGCTCGTAACCCTCGAGTGGCAGAGTGCGGACCTCAGAGGAGTAAGAATAGCCTTGGACCTTCCACGCGAAATCGGGACAGCGAAAGTGTGTCACCAGAGCACCGCTCGCTGCTGCAACAGACATGGGGTTGATGGCCTCGAGACGGCAGCCGAGTTCCTTAGCAACCTGTGTGTCGAGGAAGTTGTGAGTACTCCCGCCGTCAATGAGGATGTGCAGTTTCCGCTTCCCGTATTGCCCGATCACTCTCATACAATTGAATGTAACCGAGCCGCTGAGAGCGTTAAGGGAAATAGTCGGTGGTGTCTCCGGGATGGCTTGTGTAGGATCGGGCTGTGTAGCCACGTCGGTGATCACTTCAGGGAAAAGAACCACGTCGGCTGCATCATCATCATCGTCACACTCCAGTACGTAAATCTGGGAGCGCTTGTGTTTAAGCTGATGGCCAGGGGTGAAGGCTTCATCGCAAAACATACAGAGCCCCTGAGCACGCCGATCTTGCATCTCCTGGTAAGTGAACTTACGAGGGGTTTTATCCGCAAGGGAGCGAGGGATAAAGCTCGGTTTGGGTGGATGCGAGACATCTGGTGGAGAAAGCAACGGGGAAGAGCTCGGGCCTTTAGAGAAAGAAGGTCCAGAGTGTTTAGCGTTCACCAATGGATTGAAGGGAGCTCGAAGAAGACGCTGAGGTGTCTGAGCAAGGGCAGCCTCGTGGAGTTTTGCAATCCTTGCTGCCTCCGCTATAGTGGTGACCGTGAACTGACGGACGTGCAGTGAAAGGTGGGGCTGCATATTGGTAAGAAATATGCTCAAAGCATGAGCGGCGGTGAGAGTGACGCGGGTACGTGCGCTCTCGAACTTCTTCAGATAAACCTCGATGGGGTCATTGCCTTGCTTCAGGGAAACGAGCTCAGATAAGGGGTCGTTGATGATTCCACTAAACCGGCTTGAAATCTCCACCACGTAATCGGACCAGGAAGGTAGGATCCCGTACCGCTCGGCGATAAGGTTATGGTGCCATTCCAGGGCTTCGTCCTCGAGATGCATCGAAGCGAGGGGGACGCGCTGCTCCATGGGGGTATTATCCAACCCGAAAAACTGGTCACACCGGTAGATCCATTCGCGTAGCTTAGAGCCGTTGAACATAGGGAACCCAACCTTCGTGAGGCGGGAAGATAAGCTGCTCGGGAGCAGGGGAGGACGAGGTGCCTCAGGGGGTCCTCGCTCGGTTCGGATCTGGTCGTAACCGGGTCGATCTGGCGGGTCTGGGGGCCGACTAGAGCTTGGAGAAAACAACATGGCCGACGGGGTCGAGCTCGACTCCTGGTGTTGTTGTGGTTGAGTAGATCCGTTAGACAGATGAGTGAAGAGGAAAGATTCGAGCTTGGAAAATCGAGCATCAAGTGATTCGACGTGTCCCTTGAGCTCGTCGGAGTGCTGCTCTTGGCGAAGACGGAGGTCCTCGACGATATCGGCAAGCGAGCGTTTTTCCTGTAGCCGTGTTTCCACCATTGTTGAGCTCCCTAGGATCGGAGTGGCTCTGATACCAATGAGGCAGCGGGGTTAGTGCGATATATATAGGTACCGACTAGAGATCCTCCGTGGATCTTAAGCACGGCTGAATCGAGTCTGTAAAGCGGTTTAAAGAAGAGAAGGGCCACCTTAAAGATCAGGATCCGGAAGAGTGACGACAATGGCGTACACAGCAGAGATAAAGAGAGAGAGTGGAGAGAAGAGCGAGAGTATAATGATGGATTTCTTTTCCAAAATACTCGTACAGCATTCATAAAGTCTGAATGGTCAAACATACGACCATAAACCGGAATTAACAAACCGGAGAATTTAAAATGAAACTTTAAACCGAAACGTATTTGAACCGGAAAACATAAATTGCAGGCAATGCCTGTCACACAGCCGCTGGTAATTAGGGTTGGATCAAGAGCGTACCAGCGATCATAAGTGGGAAACTCCTGGAACAGGTACAGGCAAGGCTCTTTTTTTCCCTTCCATGAGCGACTCGTGTAGAGCTCTGGGGAATAGATGAGAGACCGCATGCCGTTGGAGACTAAGGAGAGGGAACGGTAGTGAGATCTCGATGTGCGAGCTAAACAGTTCAAAAGAATATCATCGGGAAGTGGTGAAAACGACGGTCGAAGAGGAATCTTCTTCTTCCTCTTCTTCTCCGGTGGCTGCTCTGCTTTGGCGTCCATTGCAGCGACGGTGTTTACAAGAAGGTGTGTTTTAGGTCTTGTGTATACCACCACAAGGTAGTTGCCGTGTACGACCTCAACCTAATAAACTTGACTGGGCTTAAAATCCTTTTACTCCAATGGGCTGGTTCCAATTATATTCATTTGCTGGACTGTTTAATTTATTAAAGTCATGCTACCTAAATTACTGGATCATAAGGCCCATTAATTATATTGTGTCTCTTTTAAAATAAATTAAATTGTAATATGTACGAAAATAATTTTTTTTAGATTTTTGTTATGAACAAACTAGGGGTGGGCATATTGAATCAAACTCGAAAATCCGAACCGAACCGACCCGAAAAAATCCGAACCGAACCGATCTGATATGGTTGTAATAACCGATTGGATCTTATGATGATTGTGGTTCGGGTCCGGGTTCTATTCGGTTATACCCAAAATCCGATTTCCAATCCGAAGAAAATCGAACAGGAAAACACGATATGTAGCTTTCTTAGACATTCCCGTTCAATCTCTATCCGAGATTCTCAGATCAATCAAATATCCTAATTTCTAAATCTCCAAATTCAATCTGGAATCCTTAAATCACCAATCTTCATTTTCTCTTCCTTCTGAGACATCCTGAAATCGATCTCAGGTACACCATCGTCTTCTTCGTCTTCCTTTTTTTTGTGATTTACAGTTTAAGTTTGGCAATTTGAGTTTTCAGTTTGATAATTTTTACGGTTTTTGCATTTGTTATGGTTTTTGCAATTATTACAAGCTTTGGATTGTGATTTTCAAAACTTTGTTTGTGTTTGAGTTTGACAATTTGAGTTTTTTAGTCGTGCTTGTGTTTGAGTTTGACAATTTGAGTTTTTTAGTCGAGTTTGCAGTGTTGTTCGATAAACAATAATAGAGATTGTTACAGTTTCTGCTTGAATGGTTGAATCATACTTTGATACTGATTTTAGTGTTTATTTTGACCATATGTTTTCTTAGATTTCGGATATTATTTGTGCATTTCAGATATTTTTTAGCACGTTTGGTTACAATTTGGTTACAATTCGGATACATATAACCAAAACACTCGAGAACCAAACTAACCCGTTTGTAACCGAAATTTTTTCAGATCAATATTGATTTTTATATACAATATAAGAACCAGTCCGAACCTGAATTATAATTACCCGAACCCGATCCAAAAATTAAAAATACCCGATTGGAGTCTTCAACTCTATACCCAAAAACCCGATACCCGAAAAAACTAACCCGATCGGGTCCGGGTTATCCGAACGCCCACCCCTAGAACAAACGAGCGTTTTCATCGATCTAGTTCCAAAACTCAAAATTTTGTTTGGATATACATTGATAAGGTCTCAAAAGCTCTTCCTTTATTTCTTGTTGACCACATGATTTTTTTTTTTTTTACTAAAAATATTAAATTAATCCAACCAGAAAAACAGTGTTACAATGAATTAATGTTTCATAGTTTGAATCAGAAAATTGAACACTATATACTTTACATAGATTTCTTCATCCCCTTAGAGAAAACCATATCTGCATTCCATTTGTATAGATCATTGAATTTCTACTGAAAAGATCATTGGTGATCAACTTAAGCATGATCTACTGTTTTTAATTCTTGTTCTCAGTTACCGAATTAGAATTAGAATTATTAGGATGATCAACAAGACAAGACCATGAGCTCACAGTCATAAATTCAAGGTAATTAGAGTTTCTATTCAATGAGAATTTTTACTATCTACTTTCATCCTTATAGTCTTTTAACATGGTTATATCTGTTGACATGAAGTTTGTTGTTTGTTAATTAGGTGCTATATAAGCCTGGCGCTTTACTATTTGTGATATTCTACATTAGATATATTCCATAAGGATACATTAAGATACCATATCATTTGTGTAGGTTTTAGAGCCTAGAGTGTAGATTTAGGGTTAAATAATACACACAATTAGAATTTTTTGTTTTAGACTTCTCCTATAAAATGGCACTAGGTGTGAATATTGAAAGCAGCCTTCTCTTACTATCTCTACCTCTGTTGTCTATCTTCTTCAATACCATCCATCTCCAAGCTGATTTAATGAATATGTAAGTCTATAATTGGACTTGGTTTTGAAGAAGCATAAACATAGAAAAGTGAGAACCGGACCCATTATTATTTTTCAAGAAAAACTTGCAAACCGGTTCAGCTACATATGATCTACCGGTCTCTCCGGTTTCAACCCTGCGGCATTTCAAAGGAAGATGCCTCTTTTTAAAATTAAGTTTTATACAAACACACATCATGTGGATATAGTTTTATCTTTAATCATTATATATTTAGTTTCAAATTCATAGCTTCTTTTACGAGAATTTGGATACTACATGTTTGGTCTGACGAGGATTGTGCCAAAATTCTAAAAACAATTGCTGGAAAAATCTTCCATTAAAAGGGAAATTAAGTGATCATAATAGACATGTTTATGCCAATCGTCCAATATTATGATTGTGAATATTGTAATTTATTGTTTAGCACTGATATTTCTAGTGCTGCTTTAACTACATACATGGATGTGCGAGTACTGTTTTATATATAGTTAGTTTGTTTTCGCTCTTTATATTTTGTTCAACAAATATGATCAATACAGAAATACCATATAATTGCTAAGAAGTCCAATCGTAGTAATATATAAGTTTAAATCATAACACGCAAAGCATACTCAACATAAGAAAAACGTTTGGAGATAAGAGAATAGAGAATTCTAAAAGCCTTCGCACAAATAAGAAAAGTGCTAAAGCTGTAAGATGGAGAATCATAGAACACCTAGAAAGTGTGTCAAACACATAAGGCAGGAAGAAAGGATTACTGCTGCAAGTGGATACGTGCAAATCAAGGAGAATATTGATATTACCTTACTTGGTCTTGATGAATATGCGGGGCATTGAAGACAAGGTAAGTGTGCTGTGACGAGCGGAGATATATAAGTGTGATCCTAGGAACTAGGTTAAATACATACACACGGGGGGATTAGAACACTCTTGATTTGGAAGAAGAGTTTAGGAGCTCCTTTGAGCAAACACAGCTGTCGCTGTGTGGGTAGAATTAGGAATTGGTCAGTAACAAATTACAGACCTTAGAGAGGTTGTGTAAGGTTGTGTAAAACTGATTAAACAAGTCCACTTGGATTGTTTAAGTGATTCTTAATAAAGTGTGTTTATCGATCTGAAAAGACTTTCTGTTACAAGCAAGGTTCCTTTGTCATATCGTATCCTTACATTTGGTATCAGAGCGGGTCACCTCGTGGATTGGCAAATCTACCTTACAGGTTGAGATCCTGTGGAACTCATGGAAACGATGAAGGAACTTATCGCTGTTCAGAAACCCATCATGCTCAATGCTGGCAACTTCGGACACTGGAAAGCTAGGATGCGTAACATTATCCGCGGAATAGATGAAGATGCTTGGACGGCTGTGGTCGAAGGTTGGGAACCCCCTACTATACTGGTTGAAGAAAAGTCTGAAGACAAGACAATTCCCTCAAAGACCATTTTGAAACTCAAACCAAGGGACCGATGGACAGAAGCTGACAAGAATGCATCTAAATTCAACTCTAAAGCAATGTCAGCCATCTTTGGTGCAGTTGATCTAGATCAGTTTAAAATTATACAAGGATGTGAGTCTGCCAAAGAGGCTTGAGATACACTTGTCAATCACTTTGAAGGAGACACAAGTGTCAGAAGAACTCGAATCGACCACCTAGCTTCCCAATTTGAAAACCTCAGAATGTCAAAGGATGAGTCTATAGCGAGCTTCACGGGAAAGCTTAGCACAATTGCCAATGAGGCCTCAGTCTTAGGAAAGAAATACAAAGAGAAGAAGTTGGTAAAGAAGCTGCTTCAGTGTCTTCCTCCTAAGTATGCAGCTCATAAGGCCGTTCTGAAGTACTCAATAAATACTGATGATATGAAGTTCGAAAAATTATGTGGGATGCTGAAAGCAGAAGAGATGGAAGCTGCTTCCGAGGAATCAGAACATCAGAAGGGGATAGCTTTCGCAGCTGAGAAGGATGATACCAGAGTGAAACAGATTGAAGAGAACATAAGTCTTATGGCCCGAAGTTTCAACAAAATGTTGAAGCGAGTTGAGAAAGGTCAAAATAAAACCTTCTGAAAGGATCGAAGATTTGATTCAGACACTGGACGTAAGTATGAACCTGAACGACCAGGAAGAAAGAAAGATCTACAATGCCATGAATGTGAAGGTTTTGGACACTTCAGAAACGAATGTCCACTTACGAAGAGAAAGGAGCTGAAGTGTGTGG